AATATCACTTAGAAAGCATATCTAAGACTTTTATGCTTCCAATGTATTTTTTGGTCAATGAAGAAATTTTATTTAGTCACCAATTTGTAAAGTTTTTTGTACATTGAGATGCTCAGTAATTGCGATAACTAAAAACAAAATCAAAACAAATGGGATTCAACCCAACCTTCTATCTCAAAACTAGACATTTACAAAGAGAGTAGTCATTCCCTGTTTTCGACTGGTATAGGGCAGTTGAGGATTATGGTCATAATATCAACTTTAATGTCTCTAACCAATTAGACTGTGCATCTGGTTTTCTGCTTGAAGATTCTTGCATTGCGCTCACACCAAATGCTATATATTGTAGTAGATAATGTCATTCTCTTAACTCTTTGTTTGAAGCCCTTTCCCCTCATCCTGGTACTGTACTGATTCAAGAGGAGATTCTAATCAAAAGTTCTCCAATTATATTAAAGTTACTCCATAACACAATTCCAAACATCCATTGAGAAATTTTATTCAAAGAACAAGTGATTGCGGCTTTTCATTCCTGCACCTGAGCGTAAACAGCAATAATTGTCATGGATAATTCCTCTCCTAAGTAATTTATCCTGGGTAAGGAGTCTGTCTTGGACTGCTAACCAAAAAACAAAAGAATGCTTAGGACAATTCATCCTCTCCTAAATCATGTCATGCCATGACACCTTGATTGTTGCAGGGGAGAGAGCAGTATACAAGGCAGAGACTTGTATTTTTGAGTTTTTGTAACAAAAACAGATTAGTTGTTTTAAATTTTCAACTCCTCCATAGAAATTCAAGGCTTTCTCTCTAATTTTTAACAGTTGTTTCCACATCTATGAGTCTCCAGCTCTTGCATTCACTTGCCAAATGCTTATGTTTTTTAAATACGTGTCATGGATACATTTAATCCACAATAACTCCTTGTTGATATGAATATACCATAGAGTTCTCAGGGAAAAAGTTGTGTTCCAGATAGTAGCTGAAAAATTCCCTAAACCTCCTTACTTTTCCCCCAAATATACTCTATCCCATGAAACAAGAGGGACCCTGAAGACTTGATCAGATTTTTCCAATAAGAAATTCCTGCATAACTCATCTATTTTCTGGAGGACTTTGACTGGTAAGATATAACTAGATGTCCAGTATATTTGAACACCTAGAATAACACTTTTAATAGTCTGCAATCTTCCAGCATATGACAGGTTCCTATGTTTTAACCAATTTTGAAATTAGCTTGTTATTTTATTGAAAAGAGGATTACATTCCATATATGACAAACTTTTACATATAAGAGGAGCTCCAAGATATTAGATTGGCATAACACCATCTGAGAAACCCAAGTAGTTGTGAATGGAAGCTTTGACAGAATCTTCAACTCTCCCATAGAAAATGGAGCACTTATTAGGATTTGCTTCAAAACCAGTAGTTGCACTAAAGCTTCTGATACATTGATAAAGCTTTTGCACTGAGTAGAGGTCACATTTTTCAAATAAGAGTAGATCATCAACAAAAATTAGGTGAGTAATCTTTAGATTACCACATTTTGGGTGAAATTTGAATTTCCTTTCATGTTTTAACAAATCTAGATTCCTTGAGAGATACTCCATTCCCAGTATAAATAAATAAGGGGAGAGGGGGTCATCCTGTCTTAGATCTCTTTCACCCTTAAAATAACCATGAAGAGAGTCACTAAAAGAAATGGAATACTTCGGGGAGGATATACAAGTCATAATCCATCTTGTCATCACACTAGGGAAACCTAGTCCATTGAGCATATCTTTTAGAAAATTCCAGGTGATAGTATCAAAAACTTTTCTAATGTCAATATTAAGCATTATGACCCTAGGTGGTAGATGCTTCTTGCCATAGCTTTTGACAAGCTCATGAGCTAGCAAGATGTTATTTGATATTTGTCTGTCCTTTACAAAAGCACTCTGAGCTTCATTAATAAGATACTCCATGACAGATTGGTACCAAGATACTATGTTTTTGTAAGTTTTAAAAGTTTTAGTCTTAGGGTATTTGAACTTTTAATCTACTATTTGACAGTGTTTTAAAAGTTTTAGTCTTAGGGTATTTTATACAACTTGAAAAACTTTTGGGGCTTTTTGCATTTCCATATTTTCCTTTTACTATTTAGATTTGAAGTTTTCAATTTGTTTTTATGAAATTTGATTTTTGAGAATACCTTTTTAAATTTTCAAAATTTAGGGTCCGTTTTTGCAAATTCAAAATATTCAAGGGCCTAATAGTATGTTTTGAACTTTCCAGTGTTATTTGTAAGTTTTAAATTTTTAGGGAGTTTATAATTTTTGATTTTTTTTGTAGTTTTGATATTGTTTGGGTGTTGTTTGTAATTTCTTATTTGACAACGGATATTTGTAATTTTAAGAAGCTTTTTAGTAAGATTTGAAATTTTTTTTGGGTTATTTATAATTCTGCATGTTAAATGAACCAAACGTAAACTTTTTTACCTCTTTTTATCCGACCCCTTCACTTGATTAAAGTTTATCCCCATATATATAGTTAAACTTTTAACCTAGATGAAACTTTAATATGATGAGAAACATGGTTAAAGTTAGGAAAAAGATTACCAGGATGAAGTCTAACCCCCTTTACTCTTTTACCAAACAAGATCTATGGTTAGTCCTAACTGATTCATTGAAACAGGATCCATGACCACAGGAGCGCACGTGGCTACCACTGCTCTCTATGAGGGGGTCTACCCACAGGCACGCGTAGGCGTAGGGCTCATGTGCGCTGCACCCCCCCGCCACAACGCGCGAGTGGCTAGCATTTGCTCTAATTCAATTGTGTACAGAAAATATAATTAAGATCGAAGCTTCTTAGTTCTTAGTGGCGAAGTTACCGCGGTCTTATGAGACCGATAAATCTCAAGTTGATGCTGCTCCCATTCAAAAATGTCCACGTTAAAGCTAAAAATGATCTTGCTTGTTACTTATACAAAAATTTCCTATTATTTTTTGCGTTAATTACGGAAAACCCCCATGAACTTTTGGATGTTGCAATAAACTCTCATCACTTTTATTATTACACTAAATTCCCATGAATTTTGGGGAGTTGCACAAAATCCGATGAACTATTTTATTTCACTAAATTTTACTTGAAAATATCTCATTTAATCTCCAAATTACACTACTGATTCTAACATCTCGTGTAACAAGGACGTGCCAAATAAAAAGATGAAAATAATTCATTAGTCTCGAATTGAAACTTACCTATTTTTTTTAAATGTTACTTTTTGGGACTAAGAAGAAATTTTCTGTCTTCTTTTTTTGTCATGTGCTTAACAGTGACACATTAGAGTTGATGCTGCTAATATGGAGATTGAAAAATAAATTTTTAGTGTAAAAATGTTAATGGGGGTTTACTGCAACTCCCTAAAAATTCATGAGGGTTTTCTGTATTTAACTCTTTCTTTTATCCTGTCATTTTCTTTACACAGGCCTTCTTTAAGACCATCTCTAACCCATTGCACCAAAATGGTGCAAATTTTGCATCAAAATAGTGCAAAAGTCACATCAAACAGTAAGACATATCCAACCCATTGCACCATTTTTTACACCAAAAAAGAATATTCTCAGTATATTCTCACTTTATTCCCTTTGCACCATTTTTTACACCAAAAAAGAATATTCTCAGTATATTCTCACTTTATTCCCTTTTATCTATTTTTATATTAATTGAGAATTCTCAGTATATTCTCACTTTATTCCCTTTTATCTATTTTTATATTAATTGAGAGGTAAAAACAAATATGTAAAAATTTTTAAAAAAAAGTGAACAGTAATAGGGCGGATGAACAGTGCGACGCCATATTTGGTGCAGCACTGTTCATTTGCACCAAAATGGAGCAGAAATTGGGGCTGGATTGGAGAAGGAACAGTGCAACAAAAAACACTGTTTGCACCAAAATGGGGCTGGGTTGGAGATGCCCTAAGCCCAGAACCTTCTGCAAACTCATACATATACCTCTTCAGTTCAGGATTATTAACTCAAATCAGTTGTTCAATTATAAAAAAAGGTTCATATATATAATTGATTTCATGGAGTTGGCAGCTAAAGAGCTCACAAAAGCTCAGCAGTTAATGGCTCAGCTTTGGATTGTCAACAAAGATTGCTCAGAGAGCGCAAGAGAATTCAGTGTAGGAGTAATGAGAGCCATTGAAGCTGCCCTCATCTTGCTAAACTCTGTTGAGAAGAATGCGGACTCTGTGAAAGAGCCTAGGAAAATTGACCCGAAATCCGATAAGAAGGCGAAGCGTTTGCGGATAGAGGATCCGAACCCAAACGAGCCTAGGAAAAGGTACTGAAGATACTTCTGCTCTACACTAAACAAAAGTGTGCCATTTATACGGACGCATCGTATTAATTCACAAGGAAAAATGGTTCTTTGCTTTTCAATTTATAACTTATATCTTTGCTTTTCAATTTTAACGTAATTCAGAAGAGGGCAAAATTTGAGCAATGTTGTGATAACTAGTTCTCCTTTTGGTGGTGGCTATCAATGGAGGAAGTACGGTCAGAAGAACATTCAAAATTCGAAGCATCCAAGGTATTTATCTGAAAAAAAATGCAAATAATTTTGAAGAAAGTGAATGAAAAGTGAAGAGAGAGAAAAGATAAAATATATTTTAAGCTTTTTTTACGTATCATTTCAATTTTGCTTGTCCACATTCTATTATTACTTTTAATGATAACCAAACAGAACGAAAAAAGTAAGTTTCACATCATTTGCCACCTCAGTTTTCTCTCCTCTTACTTTCTAACACCCAATCAAGATTTTGTAAAATAGAAAGTAATAAGAAAGCACATTCACGAGAAAGTATTTTCTCTTTTTGTCCCGCTTTTTATTTACTTAATTCCCCTTGCCAAACATGCCCAAGTATCAAGAAAGAACAAAAGAAGATCATTTCTATTGTTGGTGAGGTGAATATATATAGGGTAGGGTTACAATATACCTAGGGTGTAACTAACTTAGGTACTCACATGTAAAAGTACATGTTTGGCTATCGATACTAGTGATCCCATCGTTTATCGTGATTGATGCATTCCAAACTTCATAGAAATCAAAAATCACATAGATCAAATATTTCTAGCTTATACATTTAATGACCTAGAAATGAACTAAGTTTTTACATATAATGACCTAGAATGAACAATCTATCCTAATTCTACCTTTTAACTCTACAGATGCTATTACAGATGCACATATGCGCCTTATTGCGAAGCAAAGAAACAAGTTCGACAAAAGAATTCAAGCTATCCACCTGACTATGAAGTTATTTTCATCAACGAACACTCTTGCATTGCCCAAATGGATTCTAGCCTTCAACGCTCAACCGAGTTAGAGTCCAAAACTATCAACTCGGATCTAGATCCGAATGGACCGAATCCAATATCCAAAGAAAAAGAAAATGATGCAGAATCCTCCGGTTCATTGGGCACTACCGATGAAATTGATTGGATGCCTCCACTCTCTCCGATTGACCTCCATGGAATTGATATATTTGCTTATGATGATCCACTTATGTCATGTTGCAATTTCTAGCAGATCTATGAAAATCTATGGAGATTAATGGGTTAATTGCAGGTAGACCCTTGTCTTATTGCCAATTCCTTGTAAATCTATTGTTACGAATAGACCCTCTGACTGAATTTTCTTATAAACCCTTTTCAGGAGGTCTATCTACAACAATAGAACAACAAGGATAGTAAGTTCAACTTCACAATAGCATCGGGGTCTACCCACAATTAACCCAAATTAATTTTAATTAATCCACTCCTACTAATTATTAGGTAGGGAGTATATTGTATATATTTTAGGAATTTAGTGAGAAGCTTCCGAGATTGCTAAATAATGATGCTAGAGAAGTTAGGAGTGTTTGTTAGTCATGTTCTCTTAGTTGACCAAGTCATGCATAAACGTCACGTTGTCCTTACTTGGTGAAACTACTATCTAATTCATGGTTAGTGGTGTAATGATGCTTATATTAATTTATCAGGCAAAACTTTGACGGTCTGAACTGATCAGGTGGAATCTTAATCTCTTCCCATTTTTTTTCTTCGTCTTTGTTATCTTGTTTTCAGAATTTCCCAGATATTTTGGCAGCATTCTAAAATAAATATCATCCTTTTCCATGTTAAAACGTTACTTACAAAATCTAATTCTCGGCATCTTCATATATGTCTCTCTCTCTCTCTCAAAAAAAAGGAAAAAAATTCTGGGCATCTTCAGTTTGGAGAAGGCATATTAGATTTTACAATTATTAAGAAGATCTCCTATCCCAAATAAGGTCAAAGTTCTTTTCTGGCTCATCACTAACAAGAAGTTAAATACGAAGGCAAACTTGGTTATTAAAGGCTGGACATGTGATCCTAGATGTTCCTTCTGTCAGTCTGATGTTGAAACTCACGAACACCTGTTTATCAAATGCCCATTTGCTCAAGCTATCTGGTCACTCATTTTCCCCTCTATCCCTACCAACAGTTGGCCGCAATCGGTTGAGGAGTTGATATTTTTTCATAAATCTACCATTCTTAGTAAGGATGCAAAAATCATTTGGAAGATTCTGTTGCCTTGTACTTGCTGGCATAAATCTACCATTCTTAGTAAGGATGCAAAAATCATTTGGAAGATTCTGTTGCCTTGTACTTGCTGGCGGATATGGTTTAGTAGAAATGTACTCATTTTTAAGGATGAACAACCTGATCCTCTACTAACTGCCTCTAATATAGGTAGATATACTACTTTTTGGGCAGGTGCTGCGGATGAGAGGTTGGAAAGGAGACTTCGCAGGGCGGCTTTAAGTGTTGGACTCCAGGAGCTTGCTAATAAGAGCGCTGATGCCACTGGGGAATGCCTTCCTCATGCCCTCTAAACTCAGATGCCACTGGGAATTGTACCTTTTGTTGGTTATCTACTGATATTTCTACCCCATAAACTAAGTTGTTATGTTTCTAAGTATGTTTTTTTCTGAACTTTAGAATGTAAGTATGTATCTTTGTGCTATCTAGTTGAGGTTCCGTTACGGGTCCAGTTTGGTAGGTGACGACATAGGTCCGCTCCTTACTTGCTTCACCCTATGTGGTTTTTTCATCTAGTAATGTAGTATTTTATGTCTATTAATAAAATCTTTATATGAGCAGGGCTTCTAACCCTGCTTTTTCAGTTCAAAAAAAATTATAAGATGATAAATATGCAATTTTTTGAAAAAAAAAACGAATGAACAGTTAATTTAACTATAAAATTGTCAATTAAGTGCAGCCACGTATGTATAGACAGAAATTGTTGAGACTAATTTAATGTGTCTAAACACGTAGTAATTTAAAGCCGTCTAATTATACGTGCGACATTCAACTTCATGTAGGCAATCCAAAAGTTGAATATCATTCTCCCTTTAAAAGAAGGAGTACTAGAAAAACTTTCATTTCCCAAAAATACCCTTCATCTTCTATGAAATTAACCAATTTACT